TTCCCACTGTTCACCATTGTTCCATCATGAATTGTTGTCAACAAGTTCACCTCTCTTTTGTCTTTCCACCGAACTGACAGAATGTTATCACTTTTCCTTCTCTGACACTCACCAACTGCAATGTCGTTGTCAAACACAGGCATTTCCCTTCGTTGTGGCTTTACTGTACCAACCAATCCGGTTCTATTTTCTAGCAAGAACCGAGCTAGCAAGGGACTTGTATAGTAATTATCTGTGTATAAAATGTGTCCCTTGTTCATCCACGGAGCCATGATGGTCTTCACTACACTCCCCGAGAATCCATGTTCGTCGTTACCGGGAATGTCTACATCACTAGCCGAGTACAGAATCATGTGTAACACGTATCCTGTCTCACAATCACAAAGAACAAAAAATTTCAGGCCAAATCGGTTTCGTTTTGAGGGAATGTACTGTTTGAATGGAACACGTCCCTTGAAAAGTATGAGAGATTCATCAACCACCAGCTTCTGTGCTGGTACGTAAAAATCTCTGAATTTTCCAATAACATCGTTCATGTAGTGCCTCACTCGCCACAGTCTATCATCAGGTGTTCGGTCCTGAACACTTCCAAAATGTAGACACCTGAGGAGTATCTGAAACCTGTCTCATGACATATTTCCCGAATAAAGGTGTTGGTATTGTCTTGTCCTTGCTCCAATAGTCATTTATTGCATGTTTGTGACAGTGCTTCATCAACAAACAGAGTGCCAAAAACACATACATTTCCGCCACTGTGGTATTTTTCCAACGCTGCAGTCGTGAAAATTCTGTGATTTCCCTCTCAATCAGGTAAGCAGCATGCAGGTTCGTTTGGTGTACAATGTATTCCATGAGTGGTTCATCATAGAATGCTGTAAAATATTCCATCTCAGCCATGTCCTCACCTTGATTAGGGAAAAGGTTTGTAATCCCTACATCTTTATCGTCAAAGTGAGGAATATTAGGAATAAAATCGTCACCATCACTCCACTCAAGTATACCAGGCGTCCTACGAGATGCAGAGGAAGGACGGCGAGGAAGCGATGCATACCGGCGACCAGAAGCTGAATACCGTCTGCGAGAAGCACGGCGGCTACGTGCACGTGAGGTGGGTGCACGTGAGGTGGGTGCACGTGAGGTGGATGCACGTGAACACGAGGGTCTTGGTCCCTCATGTGGTGCCATGCGGTGGCGCTTGGCCGGGCGAGATGCTGCTGACGCAACAATTTCTCGCCCAGTTACACCACTGGTACCAGCCACAGGCTCAATAAAACTTTGATCTGAGTCACTAAACCCAGAAAAGGAGTCACCTCCCTCTGACTCGTCACCCTCAAACAGAAAATATCCACAGGAACTGTGAGGTCGTGGTAGAATTGGGGTAAAAACTGGGCGAGGAGGCATCGGTGAGCGTATAGGCCTCGCCATGGCATGGCGGTCATTCTCACTTTCACTGCTGCTGCTACTATCACCCGACAACTGTGTATAATCCTCATCGTTGTCTGAATCGTCAAACACACTTTCTTCACCTTCAGAGAATAATTCGTGGGCTATTTGCTCTGGGGTGAGGGACTGAGTGGTGCGTGCCCGTGAGGCGTTTGACCGTGCGCTCGCCATGGTGACTCTCGCTAAACTGAGGCCTCCCATGCCTTCGGATCGTGAGCAGGATTTTTTTTCAAAATGGCCGCTGTTTACTAGAGCCCCTGGGCAGCGTATGGGACCCCCAGCTACACCGCGGGCCATTCAAATCGTGCACGGTACCCATACACTTCATATGAAGTGAAGCGCAGTTGACTGGTAAAACGATTTACACTTCATATGAAGTGATGCGCACTTTAAGGGTTAAAGAGGTGAATATGTGGGGAAGGAGTCCTCAGAGATGAAGGTAGCTCCTCCTGTACAAGAAGGAGGGGAATCCCAGAGAAGCAGTGTGTTGGCAGATCCAGATTGTGAAATTGCTGCCTGGAGAGCCAATCACCACTAAAAAAGGCAATGAAGTAACGCTATGAAAGCTCCAGAATGTGCCAGGGCCACTCACTTTCCACCCAAACTTCACAAGAGGTGCCCGTTTGTCCTGTTGTTCTATCATTGTTTTGCAGATATTCGTCATTAGATGTTCGTGAGCAGGACCGATACCATAAATAGTTAAGGACGGAATCCAGCAATAGTGTGTGAGGCCAGGAGCTATGCTCTTTGAAAACGGATCCATCGGGGCTGGTGCAACTGAAGGATTAGCAAGCCACAGCAGGCCGTGAGAGAGACCCGCTGGAGGTCTTCACAGCCAGAAAGGGCAATTATGCTTTAAGAAGTTTAGGCATCAGAAAGGTGTGCCGAGCTAAGTGCACCAAAATGATGTAACTGGTTTCCGAAGAGTCGATGGATGCAGCCATGACTAGTCACAAAATTGGGTGCAAGATATGAAGTCAAAATTGGAGTTAGAAGAGATTCGAATGGCTCGCTAATCGCAGATTGTGTGCAACAGCAGCTAGCAGACAGACCCAGAAGTTACATTCTTACAGTATGGTCTACAGGTACCTGAAGGTAAGGACCAATAGTGTCTAAGTGAACTACAACCAACAGTGAGACCAGAGAGGGGGTCCCTGGGCACAAGAGGTAGACAGTATTGAGTCATTTATATAGTAACAATGAGGGACTGGAGCAGATGTCCCTGGGTGATCAGATGATCCATCAAATGAGACAGTGATAATTTGTGGCAGCAGTCAGAGGGGCCAGGAGTTTGAGCCATAGGCAACCAAGTGAGAGGCGTACGCACCTCTGGCTCCCAAACACCTGTCCAACTCGGTGTTAAAAGATCGCGCTCTGTCGGTGAAATTCAAACCTTATTGTTTGAAGAACATAAGGGGTCATAATATTGGTGAAACTAGGCGCAATAAGGACCTAACACAAAGGTCGGATGCAAGTGATACAGCAAATGTATCCAGTTGTAGCTCTGAGCGCCACCCTTGCCCACCTATGCTATCTCCAATTTATATAGATGATACATAGATGAACAATGTTAGCGGCTTCCATGGTGGTGTTTTCCATAGATATTTTCAAGGATAGCTGAATCTCTTCTTGACTGATGGACACTCTTTGAGGCTGGCTGAATCTCTTTCAGACTGACGGACACTCTTCGAGGCTGGCTGAATTTTTTCCTGTGTGGGACCTTACAAAGCGATCATATTCATTTCAATATGATTTAGTGATCCAGAGTATGAATTTCAACTGTAGTATTGATACTTATGTTTCTCCTTTAAATTATTATGATAATGTGTTATTAGTGTGTTTAAGTTTACCTATCTTTGATTGAGACAGACTGATATATACATATTGGCTGAGATGAGGCTTTAATGTTATTCTTTATATAAAGGACAGCGAGATAAATTGATTGAACAATCTGCAGGCGAGACTACCAGCATGCCAGCCAGGAGGCGGCTAGCAAAACATTATAGCAAGTTAGACCATCTGAAATTAGTTACATGTTACATAATTAGCCGACCCCTCACAGTGTTCAAGAGAATGCTTGATAAACACCTTCAAAGGATACCTGATCAACCAGGTTGAGATTCATATGTCAGGCTGCGAGCATCTGCATCAAACAGCCTGGCTGACCAGTCCAGCAACGAGGAGGCCTGGTCGCGGACCGGGCCGCAGGGACGTAGAGCCCCAAAATCATCGTAAGGTAACCGCAAGGTAAGGTACGTATAATAATGTTTATTTTGAGATATAATGATATTTTAATGTATGAGTAAGTTTTCTAGTAAATGTTGTAAGGCTTGAATGAGATATTACTCCTTACGTTGACCTCCATGGGAAGAGGTCGGTTAAACAAAAGGGTCTGAAACACTAATTAGCTCAGGTAAGTTGCCAGTATTGACACAGCAAATTGTGGGAGCAATAGATGACTGGGAACGGGGATGCTAATAAACTACAGGGGGCAGGAAAGAACAGCAGAGCAAAGTCAGCATACAGTGTGTGTGTGTGTTCCCCCAACTTCAGGCCATTGGCAACAGATTTTTCCATACCCTGACTCCAGTAGCTACCCTGAAATTAGCTTGCAGGAGAAGAGAAGATGGCTGCCTTCCCAGAACTTGACATTTGAGGGCTTGTCTGACCCGAGTAGACTCCCCTATATTTTACAGCATATAGTGTAATAACAGCAAAAACAGTCTTTTATTGTCCTAAGAATGTGCTCTGTGTGACTAATATGTGCATCATATTTTCAAATATCTATGTTCCACATATTTGATTACATAAATTCATCAAATTACACACTTTTGAATAATAGTACAGTGTACAGCAAAAGAAAAAAAAATAGAAAAACCATTGAGACACATTGAAATAATTACGAAAAATTATATTATCGGCAATTGCCGCCCCATGGGTTTGCTGGGGCTAGCGTCTCCAAGTGCCTATAATTTGCTCAACTTCTCTGCTCTATCATGGCCAAAATATGTCACACATACTTAATTTTTTTTTTACTTTCCCCATAATTCCATGCTCCCATGATCTTTCCCATACATTTTATCATCATCAGAAAGGAAACAAATTTTGGGGAAATTTTTTGTCTTGCACATCACAGGAGTGTCTTGTGTGAAGACTGCACACCACCGAGGTTAAAAATTAAATAGCTTTGTCCTTGGGGGTGGGGAATGCTAACATTCGGAATAAAAAGAATGTAGATTTTATAAAAAAAAAATGGGGTTTTATTTTGTAAGATTTTGTTTTGTGTTGTAGCCTCCCATAAAGATAGCCTTTACAACATTTCCTTCCAAAAATTCACATTTTAGGCATCTTTTCTTCCATCCACCAAGCATCAGCAATTTTAAAATCCTACTCCCTCAAAACACTGCTATTTGCATCAGGAACCAACTCTCAGTAAATAGTAAATGTACTAAGTAAATTTAAACTTGTAAATGCAAACTATGAAAGTAATATATTAACTAGCAAAAACACCAAAAATATATTGATTAAAATTAACATAAAACTATTTAAAGACTTACCATAGCATTCTTCAACCAAGACAGCATATGGGTTAACACCGAATGTAATCTTGGATTCCTGTTCACCTAGCTGTAGGATGTTCTGGATGCCATTCAGAGCTACCTGCACAATCTTGGCATCCATAACTGTCAACAAATCACACAGTGGAGATATACATCCCTAAAAGAAACAGAAAAAAATATTATGGTAGTATAGTTAGTGGAGATGTACATAGGTAAAAAAAATATTACGAGTGTTACATGTTCATGAGAATGGTGCGCCAAGTTCATTCTATAATTTCCAGAAAACATTTTTACCATTCGGGTTATTTCTAGATTCCTATCATTAAAGCATCATTTCAAAATAAGGCTTTTTAATAAGAAAAATGCCTTTCTGAGCATATTACATGCTTGCTCCCTATGGTAGATCTTGTGTCCAAAAGAAAGGGTCATGGACAGTGAGGTAAGATGACATTCTGACACGGGTACTACAGGGAACTGTTCAAGTAGTCCCTACAGGGTCACCAAGATGTAAGTATCAATGAGGAGGACAATCCAAGATGATTAACCCTTAAACAGCACAATACATACATATATGATTTGAGTATCACAAAATGGCGCAAATCATATATATATGATCAGCATATTTAAAATAGTTAAAATAGCCCTACATATACATAGAGATCACATCTGCTTCCTCAGAACACCAGTAACCATCCCCCATTTTGAAACAAAATCCAGAGTCCCTCACTTTCCTTCTGGGGCCTCAGTAAGAAAATGATGACCATTGCTTGGCAACATCACCATCCAGTGTCTGAATGTTTAGGGCAGCCATAGAGACACTAAACTTTTAGCAACAGCAAATGAGTGATTACCATGTATATATTTGAGGTAAAAACGTGTGCTATATGCAATTTTAAGATTTAGGCTTAAAATATATATATACATGTATTATTATGAATAAGTATGTGGGTGTCTTTATATCTTTAATTGTATATTTTTTTTTGAGATATATACAAGAGTTGTTACATTCTTGTACAGCCACTAGTACGCGAAGCGTTTCGGGCAGGTCCCTGGAATACGATCCCCTGCCGCGAAGAATCATTTTTTCATCCAAGTACACATTTTACTGTTGCGTTAAACAGAGGCTACAGTTAAGGAATTGCGCCCAGTAAATCCTCCCCGGCCAGGATACGAACCCATGACATAGCGCTCGCGGAACGCCAGGCGAGTGTCTTACCACTACACCACGGAGACTGTCTCAAAGTAACTTTGACACACAAATACAACCTGTTAGCATGAAAAAACTAAATAAATAAATTGAGAAACAATGAAAATAAATCAACAAAGTTATTCCTATGTGGCACCTCAACTCAAAATATGCACCTTCTCCAGGCTACTACAGCTAAACCACAACCTTACCAACAGCTAGACTTTTTATTTGGATTTTTGTGCTTCCTGAAGGAAGGTATTTGAACAAGATATTTGAACAATTTTTTTCTTGAGCGCCCTGGGGATGTTTGCTATTTAATTAACAGTTAGCAGTTTGTGAACATATCCACCCAGGACATGTTTACAAACACACCTGAAAGAGCAGCAGACTTCCGAACATCATGGGCACGAGAGCAGACCGGAGGTTGGCTATGATGAAGTAGACTGCAGATGACCTGGGAAAATGAGCCATGGAACATGGGAGGAGGGGGGCAAGGACCAACCTATAAGGCACCTGCCGAAGCAGAATCCTAGACCCAACTGTATTGGTGGATAGCCTACACCAGACATAACACACGATGCATCCACAACCATGGCAACCAACCAACTCAGTCTTTGCCAAAACAAAAGGAACCAGCAGCAATGGAACACTAAATGGAATGGAACACTGCAATGGAATTCAACCCTCACTACAGCAATAGGATCAAAAAACCCTGCCTCTGAAGGAGAGCACAAAGCACCAAAACCTGACAACCAGAGAAAAGAAACCAAAACATAACCTTAGAAAAAGGAATCTCAGACCAAAGAGGACTGGTTTATCTTTTAGTCTGGCTATTGGATTGGTCTGGTAGTGGAAACTCGTACCTCTTCCCTAATTACAGTTAACACTCCTTCCAACCTATTAGGTGAGGTGAGGTCCGATTATATAAACAATCCAGAAGCGAGTAATCATCAGTAAAATTTCAACAGTGGTTCAGTACAGACACTTGAGAGTTACTGCACACCTTCAACCTCAAAGATGTAGTACTCAACATGCCCAGTTCCAACCGACCACATGACACTTCAGCTTCAACACAGAGCAGACAGCCAGACTCCAACCACATTGAGCATCCCCCGCTCCCGGCCCGCCTCCAGCATCCCCGCTCCCGGCCCGCCTCCAGCATCCCCCGCTCCCGGCCCGCCTCCAGCATCCCCGCTCCCGGCCCGCCTCCAGCATCCCCGCTCCTGGCCCGCCTCCAGCATCCCTGCTCCCGGCCCACCTCCAGCATCCCCGCTCCCGGCCTGCCTCCAGCATCCCCGCTCCCGGCCCGCCTCCAGCATCCCCGCTCCCGGCCCGCCTCCAGCATCCCCGCTCCCGGCCCGCCTCCAGCATCCCCGCTCCCGGCCCGCCTCCAGCATCCCCGCTCCCAGCCCGCCTCCAGCAACCCCGCTCCCGGCCCGCCTCCAGCATCCCCGGCCCGCCTCCAGCATCCCCGCTCTCGGCCCGCCTCCAGCTTCCACGCTCTCGTCCCACCTCCAGCTTCCACGCTCTCGTCCCCCATAAAGCTTCTCGACTCCGGCCTCACTTAGCTCTCTGCTCTGCTCTAAGCTTCATCTTAACTTCTACGACACTGTCAACAACCAGCTGCTGTAACCATGACTACTAAATCAATATGAAAAACCTCTAAACTCTGTGTATATAATCTGTCCAATAACGTACCATACTCGTACGTTACAGTAATATCAACACCGAGTGCAAGCCATAGCAGCTTGCCAGTACCACACAAAAGGAGGCGACAGTATGCAGCATGAGATGACAATCGACAAAAAACAAAGACAGAAAAGAGCACCACACTCAGAAACCGAAGAGCAACTATGAAGAGAAAAAGTGGCAAAAGGAGCACCAAAAAGCCCCATACTGTTGCTCGGAAGAAATATGCAGGTGAGACACCATGAAGGAGCCACCTGCCACTGCAGAGATGCCGATAAAGACTAGTCAAACTTTCAAGATGCAAAGTGCCAAGGAGAAGGCCGAACCAGCAAGGAAGTCACCAAGCTGATCTTTCAACAGATGTGGAGCCATGGAGAAACATCTGGGTTCAGACACCGAGCAAGCAGTGCCTGAAAACAAGGCCGAGCCAGCCATAAGAGAGCTGGAATGATCACCCTGCCCTGGTAGAACCTCCAACCTAGCCAGGTCCTGGAGCAACAGCCGGACTGGGGCAAAAAAGAGATTCCCTGGTCCGAATATATTTGGGTTTCTCATCTGGCAGAAATCGTGTTACCCCGAATCCCCATTTGGGTTTAAATGACTAAAAAAAGGCCAAAATGTTGAATAAGGAATCTTGTGGATGACTAGAAGATTTGGGTTACCAGACTATGAATTACTGAGCTCTTGCTGTATTATTGCAAGGTATATGGGAGAAAATTCTGAAAGAATAAAAGAATGGTCAAGAAAAAGACCTTAGAGAGCCTTTATTCCAGATTCACATGCAGTATAGTAAAAAGAACACTAAATATAAACAAGCAAACTTAAATATACTCTGAAAATATCTGTGAATAATATCTTACATGTTCAACAAGATATCTAATCTGTGCTGGAGTTCCACCAGATGTAGCATTAGTTATGGCCCAGGCAGCTTCTTTCCTCGTTTTAAATTCTGCTTTGCCCAAGATCTCGATGAGCACAGGGAAGATGTTGGCATCTATGACTGCTTGGATCTGTTAGAATTAAAAAAATAATTATTTCCATGGTTACTTGCCCATATTATCTTAAATATCAATGTCTGGTATCCACCAAAACGTATTGTATACAACACAGTGGTAATTGGTAATATATTATCACAAATTGCATGTAGGAATTATGTTGTGTGATATATGGGTTATGAATTTGTTTTCATGCAAAACAATAAGGTAACTAAAACACCAGCTTTGAATGTAAGGAATATTAATTTCTGGGTGAGATCCAGTGGCTTTGTGAAGCTCTATGCTGAGATGGTTACCATCTACTGGGACACATCAGCCATAGAGTTTTACAGGCCTACCAGGGACTAGAGCCAGTTACCCGGCCCCGCTCACAAAGGTGTAGTGAGCTGTGTTATATATTGTTGCCTCTTCACCAGAGAAGGCAACCAGAAAGTCAGCGAATCAAAACAAACTACTGCTGAATTCAAAGAGACCAAAGCCTCAAAACTGGCTGAAAGAACCTCCACAACTATGTAAACAATTGAATTCTCTCAAAAATAGTGCCAGCTCATTCATCCTATCTTCCCCACAGTTTGAGGGGAAGGGGAAGTAGCCCAGTGCTTGCCGGCACTTGACCTCCCAGTTCTAGGGCAGATGTAGACATCCACCCGAGGACCTGGAAGGAATGGAGGGGATCAAGAAGCCACCAGGAGCACACCCAGAAATTGGCATTTCATTACATTCAATGCTGGTTTTCTGGGGGTAAGCCCTTTGTGGCAACCTGAATCTAAATATCCAGAGAGAAGGAAGAAAACATGGGAACTTACCAGAGAGGGAGCACTACAGAAATGAGCATGAAGATGGGATTTCAAGCTGAGAGACATGACCTCCAAAACCCTTGCATCGGACTATAAGCCCTGGACATGTTCACAAACACAGCTAAAAGAGAGGCACACTACTGAACATTGTGGGCACGAGGGTAGACCACAGGCTGGCAAGACTTAATTACAAAGCGGACAACCTGGGAAATACGAGCCTTGGAACAGAAGACCAAGGAATCAAGATCAACCCACAAGGGTTGAGCCTGTGGGACCCTGGATCCACCGTAGGGCATGCCAGAAGACAGCAACTATACTGTGTACTGACAAAGAAGAGGAGAACAACAACCCCAGCAGGCCTGGTGAGCACTGGTCACAGAACTGCAACCCAGAGCCAAAGCATCCCAGAAAACATTGAGTGAGAACCCAAATCTTGAGGTTATCTTGAGGTTTCTCAAGATGATTTCGGGGCTTTAGTGTCCCCGCGGCCCGGTCCTTCACCAGGCCTCCATCCCCAGGAAGCAGCCCGTGACAGCTGACTAACACCCAGGTACCTATTTTACTGCTAGGTAACAGGGGCATAGGGTGAAAGAAACTCTGCCCATTGTTTCTCGCCGGCGCCCGGGATCAAACCCGGGACCACAAGATCACAAGTCCAGTGTGCTGTCCGCTCGGCCGACCGGCTCCCGACAAATGTGGTAAGGTGGTCACTCCATGACAAAAAATAGCCTATCTCTGAACCTCAGACATATAGGGACTTGCCAACATGGGTTCTGGAGATCTGAGGAAGTCATCCAAACGGCCATCTTGTACTGGAGGCAGACAGAGTGCTCATCCAGAATGAGGGGCAAGGAATGACCCAGAGATCCAGCAAGTTCTGTGACTAGTCACTTCGAAGAGGAAGAGAGGAGGGGGGCCCTGCCCGGAAAGGCCCAAACTCCCAGAAGGGGTAGGGGCAGACCAAATCCACAGCATGCCATAGGAAATGATCTGAAAGGCCCAGGAGTTGGAAAGCCGGTTGAGCTGCTCTTCCAAATACCCTCCAAAGGGGTGAAAGGGCTGGTGTGAGCTACGAGCAGTTGATACCTCTCGAGCAAAGCGAGCATGGCACCGACTTGACAGAGAAGGACCAGCTGAGGAAAGTGCTTACAACCCTGCATTACAACCCTACACATATGGCCTACCTTGTCCCACAGCAGGCGAAGCCCCAGCTCAACCCAATTGTCTCAAGGAACGAGAACCGCAAAGCAAAGAGGGTTCGATGCAGGCCGCAGCCACTAATGAGAGGAACTGCGCCACCACATCCACAGGAAAGAGGAGAACGGAGAGGCAGACAGGATAGCCAAGGCCCATGCTAAATCCAAGGATTGCGCCAATACAGTCTGTCAATGTGCAAGTTGGGTGGTGAAGAATGAGGCCACTGCACCCCAAAGCACAGGAGTGTAACTGATGCAACCACAACAGAAACCAAGACCCCTGCAAGCAGACTCCTAACAAGTGCTTCAACATCCTCTTGGAGCCAATCAGAAAGAAGCTTCAAGAGACCCAGGAAATGCACTATGGAACCAAACTGCAGATGCGCCCGAGGGTCATCCGTCACAAACGTCGCTGACAACAAGGGAACATGGGCATGGAGCTGCACAAGACCCCACATCCTGAGAATGAGTGGGAGCAAACAGGTAGTCATTGAGGGGTGCAAAAGCAGAGCCACAGAAACACCTATAACATAGTCCACACCTCACGCCAATGTGCATACGGGTCCGACAAAAGCCATACCAAACATCAAATGAGAATAAGGGATTCTCTGCCAGCCAGGAAGAAGACCCAAACTCAAAGAGACAGGATCCATTAATGAGGCACAAGCCAGAAAATGCAGGAGGTACGTAAACAGTGCCCCACAAGTTACTGGTGAAGGACAATGGAGCTCTAAGGAGTGAGCTTTGCACTCTAAAAGGCCTCATAATGGTCATGAGAGAGATTATGGTAAGAGCTGACAAAGATGCAGGCAATGAGTCACAATAACGTGGCTGAAGTATGTTGACCAGACCACACACTAGAAGTTGAAGGGACGACGACGTTTTGGTCCGTCCTGGACCATTCTCAAGTCGATTGTGATGAGGAGGTAGAGACAGGCAATAAATAGGCAAGAGAGAGCTGAGGAGGAAAGTAAGGTGTAGGGGATAGTAGTAATAATGAGAACTGCAGAGGGCCTATTGGCCCATACGAGGCAGCTCCTATTATAACCACCGAAGGAGATAGTAATAGGAATAAGAAGAGGATAGCAAGGGAGTGTAGGAGAAGACAATGAACAGAAATAGGGGAAAGAGAGAAAGGAAAGGAAAGGAAAGAGAAAGAAAGATAAATGGAAGGGGTAAGCTTATGTTAAGTCACGTTTGTTAGAAAGATTAGAGCATTTGAGTATATACTGTGAAAGGGAAGAGTCCACAGCAACAAAGCCAGGACTCAAGTTCATGTTGGGTACATTGTTAATAAGAGCCGATTCTACAAGACGGCGTCTGTGTAGAGTAGAGGCAGAAAAGATTATTTTGGAGGAAGACCAATCAATGGGATGATTAGAATCCCTCACATGGCAGAAGAGAGCATTGTTAGTGTCTGCAGACTTAACACTTCTCTTGTGTTCTTTAAGTCTGTCATTCAGTGTACGGCCAGTTTCGCCAAAGTATTGGAGAGGACAAGATGAACAGGAAATAGAGTAGACACCAGCAGCATTAGAAGCAGGAGGAGCAGTGTGAACTCGATTGCTACGAAGTGTGTTAGCTTGTCGAAAGGCGAGTTTAATGTCAAGAGGACGAAAGGTATTGGTAAAAGTTTTGAGTTCAGATATGAAGGGAAGGCATAGTACAGTGCTACTAGTGTTGGAAGCAGGTTTAGGATGAAAGAAATTTCGTTTAGCTTGAGAGTAGGCACAGTTGATGAAATGCAAAGGATAACCAAGGCGAGAGAATGATTTGTAGATAAAGGCAATTTCAGAATCAAGAAACTAGAGGGTCGCTGATGCGTAGAGCGCGGAGGAAGAGAGAGACGAGGACACTTTTCTTAACAGGAGGAGGATGGTAGGAAAAGAAGTGAATGTACATGCCACTATGCGTGGGTTTACGATAGACAGAGAAAGAGAACCCAGACACAGAGCTGTGAACATGAACATCAAGAAAAGGAAGGAGGGAATTAGATTCCCACTCAACTTTGAAATGGATAGAAGGAGCCAGACTGTTAAGAGAGGCAAGAAAAGGCTGGAAAGGATTAAGGTCATGAGGCCATAAAGCAAAAATGTCATCAACATAGTGAAGCCAGAGAGAGGGACGAGTATCAATAGAAGGAAAAAGAACAGTTTCGAAGTATTCCATGTAGAAATTAGCAAGAACAGGAGAGAGGGGAACCCATAGCGACACCAAAAGTTTGAGTGTAATATTTACCATTGAAAGAGAAAGAGTTAAGAGTCAACACAGAGTCTAATGAGATCGAGGAAAACGTCAGTGGGAAGCGGGAGAGGAAGGAGGCCCTCTGACGCCTTCTGTCTAAGGAAAGAGTAGTGAACAGAGAGTCGACATCAAGACTAAGCATCTTACAAAAGGGCTGCAGGCGCAGTCTTTCTATGAAGTCCTGAGAGTGACGAAGGTGGGCCGGGGAAAAAGTGCCAAGGTAAGGTGTCAGGGTTTTAGCGAGCCAGGAGGCAAGAGGATAGCTGACAGAGCCCCGTGAAGAAATGATAGGACGAAGAGGAACACCAGGTTTATGAGTCTTAGGAAGACCATAGAAATAAGGAAGAGAAGGGCAGATGACACGGAAACGTTTAATGAGATCAAAGTCAGGAGGGCAAAGACTAGAGAGCTGTCTTAGTTTGCAGTTAAAGGAAGTTTTGAGGCAATCCAAAGGGTTAGAAAACAAAAAACAAGGGTTAGAAACATTTTCAAACAAAGATAAATCCCGATTGTTGGTACTGGGGGACTTTAACTTTACGGCAATAGACTGGGAGGCCTACGAGGCAAGAACAGAGGACATTTGGACAGGAAGATTTGTAAACCTCATCTTGGAGACATTCATGTATCAACAAGTCAAGCAGGCCACAAGAATGAGGGAAGGGGATGTTCCGTCAGTACTGGATCTAGTATTCACCAGGAAAGAAGAAGAAAAGGTATTTGACATCCAGTACCTTCCTCCCTTGGGAAAGAGTGATCACGTCCTCTTGGACATTAAATA